AAACAAGACTAATTATCTTACGCGAACCCTTGAAAAGACAATGCTTATTTTGACTTCACTGGTTAGAGAAAGAGAGAAAGAGAGAGAAAGAGAATAAAAAACAATAGGTTGACTCGCCCATAATACTTGCTTCCTTATTTCGTTTGCGATTTAGCAGCTGATTGTCGCACAACTTTTCTTTTTCACTGCCTCAAATATTTCTTGCAGTCCAACCTTTTTTGCCAATTCGTTGCTGGATCTATAAATAATTGAAATTATTTTTATTTGATGTTTATATATTTGAGATATAATATATTTTTGATAATAAAATAATAAATAAATTACCGATGCAATTTTCTAATTTTGTTTTTTTATTAATATTGATAAATCGTTATATAATTGAATTATATTCGTATCTAAATAACAGAGTATTTATTTGACAATATATTAAAACGCAGATAAATAATAATGTTGAACGAAAGAAAAATTATATATACCTGATAGCAAAATTCCAAAGAACATTTTGTACAATATTAGTTCTTGGTTCACCACCTGCCAATATCAATTCGCATATCGATTTTTCTTCGCAAACATTTCCTCGTTGTTCATCGAGTACTCTCGCTTGCTTATGTTCGATCGGTAGGTCAACGACCCTAAGCTTTGAAAGGACGATATTCGGCTCTCTAGAAGAATTCGGCCTTGCATTAAAATACGTGAAATCGTGTAATATTATGAAATCATGTTTCCTATACTTTTACTCACGTGGTATTTTGAATTTTGATCACGTTAGGTGCAAGTGCGGCCAATAACAAACCGAAAGGTAAAAAAGCACCAATCAAATGAATAATCTTTTTCCACGGTGAGATTCTAAAAATATATTTAAGTATGGATATATATAATCGTTGGATATTTTGATATCGTGCAAAATTATTCTATTTCCTCTTTTCTCACCTGTGTTCTTTTGGATAAAGTACGGTTGGTTTTGGTTCACCTAAAAAGTCCATTTCGTGATAGCCTACAGGCTGGTGGTAATAATAATGTGCTGGTTTACGAAGCGTAGTATATTCGTGTTGTTGAGTTAGATAAACCATCATATTATTATTGTTATTATTATTTGGTTTTTGAACGTTACCATATGTTTGTTCTTGTTGTTGTTGTTTTTGTTGTTGTTGTTGTTGTTCGAGGTTGTAATAATTATTTTGATAGTTTGGCACAAAATGATAATCAGGTACGAAATAAAATGTATTCTGATCATCCAAATTCGTATTAGCAATCGGTAAATGTTCATCGAATTCGTTCGGAAATCTCATTGGTTTTTCGAATAACATCGAAGTGTGTTCCTCGACGTATACCGGTTTCTCAAGATTCTGTAAAAAAGTATGATCGCTTATCACTTTCTGTTCACCGAAATTCTCCAAATGCGACCTTGAACTTTGCGTCACGGTCACTTGTAAAGGTTCAATCGTCTCGTGATTTGGTAAAAATTGCTGATATTTCCTTAAATTGAAATTATGTTTATCGTCATCGAACTTCACATGATGATCATTATCACGTTCCTTAACGTCGTATAAAATACTTTGTTTAACGTTTTGTAAACGATCTCGTTGGGAACCAATATTGAGATTGTTATCGAATCTGACATGGTGCACATTATTGAAGGGATTGTTTTTTATCCTAGGTTCTTCAACGATTTCTCCAAGATGAACGCTTGGTTTGAACTCATCGTCCGTATTATTTTGATCATTCCCATTGATAATACGAATAGTTGATACAACATTTTCATCAGTTTCCGTAGCAATAAATAACGTTGTTTCTGTGGTCAAATCTTCGATAGATTCATCGAATACTTTCGAATTAGTTTGTTCAGATAATTCGGTAATATTTTCGGTCAAAATATTGGTTACGATTGAAATATAAAAGATAAGAATGATATATTTAATACGAAACACCATGTCGTTTGTATTCTTCGATACTTGGAAAAAATAATTTAATATCAAAAATATTATCGCAAAAGAAAAGAATTGTTCTCTTTACTTGACAGTAGACGACTAAACCGCGTCTTGAATGTTTCTCGCCTTTAACGCAGTCGTCGTAAAGTTGGATCGTGTTTTCTAAAAAGGAAAAAAAAAAAGAATATCTCTCGTCTGTTAATCATTCGTTTTTACTCCAATTGTCGACGACAAAGAATAAGAGTACGGCACGATGGTGTTTAGTTCAGGTAGCAGGTGTTACTAACGTTGGAAAGGTTTGCATCGTGGTGCAGAGTGCATAATAGTGTGTCAAATGTATTATATCTAAAGAAAATAATTTCAATCGATTTCTATCACTTTCTCAGAGTTGTAAACAACAACAACAAAAATATTATATCCTAGGTAAGGAAGGATAGATCATCGTCAAAGATCATTAAAGATTTATTTTCTATCCATTTAAAATGATCGTTTGCTCGATCATCCCGATCGTACGATAAGAAATCAACGGTGACGTTGGTCTCCTTAATGTTTTTTACTAACAACAAAGATAAAATTATATATCGTTGTTGTTAGTGAATACAATCGGGTGGAGATGTATCTCTCTATTCGAATGACCTCGGTATAAAATAAGGTCAGACTCTCGCCGCTCGTTGTCGATAAAATGCAACTTAGAAAGTCTTTCGATCTCTTCCGTTCTTTCTCGTATCTTCCTTGATATGAATTTTCCCTTTTGTGTGTGAATTCGAAATAAAAGATAATAAAAATACGTTTTTAACGATAAAGAAAAATCTCAAAATTTATTTATACACGTTGAGTACTAATATCGTTCATTTTATTTAATAATCCATTGAAAAATTCACCCACATAAGTTCGTAGAACGTGAATATAATCGATAATTTATCTTGCATCTCGATATTATTTTCATATCATCATTTATCTATCAATATTATTTGAAATTCTAACAAGTTGGTAAGAACGACAATTAGACCATTTCGAATCCGGTGAAACGTGCTTTTTTTTTTTTTTTTTCGTGGGACGAACAAGGTTCAGCTTAAGTGTACATATATATGCATATGCATATGAAAATATATGATTGTATGTAACTCGGTGATGCGTGGATCGTAGCACGACGGTAAAACCATACAATTATCGTGAAGAGTACTTTCCTTGGAAACTCGTTGTCGATGCGTAAAGTTCTAAAGAGAAGCAGGTTAGCTTGGATCATCATAATATCTCTCTCTCTCTCTCTCTAACTATTTTCTTTTACCATATACAAATACACCTACATAAAACTATTTAATATACGTGTATGTTTTAGTTTAATATATCTGATACGGTAGCTTCTACTCTCGTATGAACATAGCCGACAACGAAAGTAGCATTAAGCTGCTGTACCATCATGAAGGTAGCTCGTTTATAATATATTTTTTTTTCTTCTTGTTTATATTACATTTTCTTATTTTCCTTTTTTCATTTCCTTCCTTGGCGTTATCGTCATCATCGTCGTCGTTGTCGTTGTCGTCGTTGTTTTAGCGGCTTCGATCAACCCAATTCCGGTTTCGAGTAGGCCAACCAACCGCACGACGTTCGATCGGAATCGGAAGCAAGAAAAATTGGATTACAGATATATATAAAATCGTCGAACATTAAGGGTTTTATTTGATAATAATATTTTCTTTAATTATATATCGATTAACGGTTGCATGGTGCATATGAATATCGATACAAAGATCAAATATTATCTTCACGATAATCGAGATAATTTGTTCTATCGTAAAACGATTGCAGAGAAAAAAATAAAGAATAATAAAAATAATAAGAAGAAATAAAGTTTCGCGTTCGCGTTTCACTCGATGCCGATGATAGAAAGACAGTTAAAGTTAGAATCGTTGTAGATAATATGTGTATAGGTAAAAGAAAGATACGAGTTTAAAAAAAAAAAAAAAAGAAAAAAAAACAAAAGAAAAAAGTTAACTTGAGGTTTCTCGGCCGAGAAAGCGCAAAAATCGTCAAACGGCCGATTTTTCTTTACAATCTTCGAACGTTAGCTTCTTTTCCTCCCAATAGGAGGGAAGACTTACGACATAAATGTGAACGATGATCTGACGATAGTGCGTACATCGAAGGAGGTCAAATTGGTAATTTACCGACCATGAAAATCGCCATCAACCTTCTTTGTCTATCTCCAGTTCTCCTGTCGTGTCCTAAATCTACGGTTATCTTTTCAATTATATTACTCTCGTTACACAAACTTATGACTCCGAAACTTCGAAACTATCCAGTTAATTTCTTCACCTTTGTTATACTGATTTTTGTATAATAGACATACGAAATTAAAAAAAAAACCAAAAAAAAAACAACACTAGGAAATAAAAGAAGAAATTTCAATCTCCTAAAGACCCAGTTTTCTATGTTCACAAACGAGCGAAAGTTAGATTATTATTTCGTTCGGGGTGAAAAAGAAATGAAAAGAAATTTTTTGGCTCTATTTGAATTAGAATAATTATTATTTGAAAGGAAATAACGAAATAGGAAAAGGAATAGGAGTAAGGAGGATGAGGTTTGTCGCGAAGGTGCGTGATTGTTACGGGTGACCGGTGTAATTAGTGCATGACGAATGTCTTTCTTCTTATTCTTTTTCTTCTTTCACCGGGTGTTCTTTTGAAATTCAACCGATAAAGAGATCTACCTAGGTCCGATATCCTATGTAAATTTATTATAAATGTTTTTTTTTTTTTCTTTTCGATGATAAGGGACAGTCGTCCGGTCAGTTTGATTTTCTCGGCTGATCGGTATCGTTCTTTGTTCTTATTGGTCCTATTGTTCGAATGATATAGTCGACGAAGTGGAAGAAGACGAGTTGAAAGGAGAAATGTTTAGTTGGAGCATGCGAAAAGTAAAGAGAGAAAGAGATAGGAAAGGAAGAGAGGAGACAAATCCGTTTTCTTCAGTGACCAGGTTAGACAAGGACAAGTAAATCTAAGACTGGCAGGTCGAGAAGGAGATGTAAAATGGACCAAGTACATTCGAAGTGGGGACCTGGATTAAAAGCAAAGGAGGCCAACCTCTCAGTAACAGAACCATCACGGACCTTGAAGAGGCGAGGTCGACCGTTCTTTGTTACTCTTATTTCTAACTGCTGTTACTGTTGCTGCTGTTGCTGTTGCTCCACCACCTCCTCCTTCTTATTCTACTGACTGTTACTTACTTATTTACGTATTTACTATACTCTACTGGTGTGTACAGTACCGTGGCCGCCGACTATAACGGTTTATTCTAACTTTAACTCGACAGAACGATTCGTTTTATTCATGTAATTAACTTCCTCCTGTTATCATCTTCATCGTGTAATTTGGAGGACAACCTAATCGACACGGTCAGTGACAAAATCAGTCTAACGTAGGATTTAATCAGAGGCACACACATACGCCTGGATTTATATTAGACTTTAGCAGAGAACAAATTATAAAATAATAATTATAAATTTGTTATACAATTATATATATAATTTTCTTTTTTTCCTTTACAGATGGCGATCACGAACGGAACGATCCGTTTACTTCTATTAATTTTCATCCTAGAAGGTTCTTATTGCGATACCAGATATTTTGTTAAAATGAGAACCAACGCGTCCGAATTGTTCAAAACGAAAAACGAAAATTTACGAATACCCCAGGAGCCCATTGCGATGACTCAAAGCCCGTTATTCGATGAGACAAGAAACGATCAACGAAACAACGATGAAAGAATGATTCGTGACGCCTTGACCTCGGAATATGACAGACGAAATTCTTTTGAAACGTCAACGTTCAATCCTGAAGTACTCAACAAGTTCCTCGAGGACTATGCTAATAAAATTAAAGGTTCTACAGAAAAAGACTTCAAACTTCCATCAAAATTGTCGAAACCTATGGTGGATCCACTCATTCTTGAAGTTGACGAGTCGACTACTGATTCTTCAACTACAATACTTGACGATGAAAAATCCACTTTGGATCCTATCAATTCTACTTTAAACGAGGACAAAGTAAGTGCTTCTTTTTTTTTTTTCTTTTAAGAAACAAATTTACAAAGAATATTGACCCGAATTTTCTTGTAATTATTATATTTTTAGCTCAGTGACATTTTGAATGATACATTAAAAAGAAATAAGTATTACGGTATGGCCTCCCACGACGATAGAAATGGTTGGGTTACCCTCGATGCAATTCCATGGTCTAAAAGTAAAATTTCAAAGTGGCAAGCAAATCCGAGTACTCAACGTCCCTGGCCAGAGATAAAACCATGGGAAAAACCTAGCATGACCAAACCATGGACTTCCGATTATTCTTCTAGGCCAACTTACGAAAACAACAAACCTTGGTAATTATACATTTTAAATGATATCTACAATTGATCATATTTTCAGTGTAAATTATATTTATTTATGATAATTGAAAATTTAGGCACGACAAACCGAAACCTTATTGGCAAGAGAATAACAATGATAAACCATGGCAAAAACCATCTTCGTCATCTCGTCCATCTTATTATCCAGATAAATACGATCAAGTATCGAGTCAAACACAAAAGTGGCCACCCGAGAAGCCATCTTGGGAGAAATACCCTTCTAATATTCATCGGCCAACCGATATTATAACAGACGACAGGCCTACCAATTTTCCTAATACATGGAACAACAAACCTCAATCGTCTAACAGACCTTATCCATTCTTAGACAAATATTCTGAAAACAATCATGCTGATGACGGTAATAACGATTGGCACGATTTCCCACCAAGAACCGAATCCTTGGACAGACCAAGACCAAGTGATAGACCAAATTTTTCTCATTATCAATACGGTAATAATCATCCACCTTCTCATCCAGCTAACGGTGATGGACAATGGGTTCTCTTATCAACGAACAGAGGATATTCTAAATCTCGTCAAAGATCTATCAAGATAGACACGTTGAATCCCGAATTGGTCAAACTATTGAACGGAACTAAAACGAAATCTATCAAGAAAGAGGAAGATACCGATACAGTTGTTCCCGTTATGACATCAAAGAGACAGGTTAGGCTAGAAGTTTAAAGAGATATTTCTTATGAATTTATTGAGAATTATTTAACAAAATGAATCAATTCCATGGGAAAGTGATCAATTAAATTAATATTCAAACCGGTTATTATAAAGAATCTCTCTCTTATTGTTAATGATTGATGATTTGTTATTATATTGACTGGATGCAAATGTACTACGAGTTTTATATAGTTGAAATATGACGATACCTTATTTAGAAAGTAAACAGAGAGGAAGATAAAGAGAGAGAGAGAGAGATTACTTATCCGATCGATTTATCCGACAGTTACTTTATGAAATATGGCTTACCTAGGTCAGGTTGACGGTGTTACCGTCAATCAACGGCACCAACACAACAACGTCGCACGGCGGTCTCTTGGAAGTCGAGAAGACTTTCAAAAGCGTAGATCAGAGTCGGAAGGAATACGAGAGAGACAGAGCGACAACGTTACCGAGCATATTGAGAAGAAGACCAATCAGGAACACCTTGAACGGCGGACAGGTCTCGAATTCAGCGGTTCTCGCGGCAGTTGGAGCAGGTTAGTCATATCGTAAATAAATATTAATACAATTTATTTACTCGCCTAATTGATAATTTACAGTATGATTTATGACGACAGGAATGTTACCAGCAACCATGGCAATGATGATCCCAATGATGCTGGGTCGAAAGAAACGAGAATTGAAATTGGAGAATAAAATAATACGGAATTTTGACGGTCTCGATATTAATATCAATAATCTTGGTAAGAAGTCGACGATGGGTACGAAGAAAAGATATTTCTGACTGTAGGTCAAATTCTTATAATACGTCACACGAGAAATAAGGTTTATGGAGGTTCTTAAAATCATAATGCGATAGTTAGAGTTAAACAACTCGAGGTACTACAATTAGGTAATAATATCTGATGGAATATACTGATATAGTTTCTAAAGAGAATCGTGAACCCGATTGGTGGGGGGGCTAATCGACGAACGGAAGTGTTGTTGTGTTGCACTCGCTTCATCATGAAAGTTCTGTTATAGCAAACGGTCCTGTAACGCTTATCATCACCACCGTGTCATTCTGTGACTATACATAGTTTCTACCAAACTAGGTCACTATTACCGTGTTTACTGTATTTTATATGATATACATATACACCCTATTCGAACGAAGTCTAGCGTAACACGTAAACGAGTTTGAGTTAACAGTCAAAGAACATACATAGACAGTTTCATTGATATTGATGGATGAATTTGATGCGTTAGTAAGAACGTAGAGACAAAGTGCGTATGTATGTACTTAGAAACATAGTGCAACGGTTAGGATCGATCGCGCTAAAGGCACACCTGTTGCATTCTAAATAGATTGGATGACGAGTATAACAGTATGGTATTATACTAAACTAGGGTTACTGTTACAGAAGACATTCAATATTTATATTTCATTTAGTGACGATTTATCGACTCACCAATAGCCCTTTAGAATTATTTTTTATAAGAAATATCGACCTACAGAATCAGAGATCACGTTGTTAAGATGAATGAAAGATTAGAAAGTTCGATAATCGCTTCGATTAACTCGCTATTTATTATTATATTATTTCGATATATTTATTCATTGAGAGATTTTAGAGGAAAATTGAAAATGAATCGGTAAAATATTTATATATATATTTATATATATATATTTATTTTTNTTTTTATTTACACGGCACAAAATACTGCGTAGCAATATTTATTTAACTTATTTATTTATTTATTTATATATATATATACGTAATAAACAGTCTAATATTTTAGATTTTTATATAATATATTATTCTCGTTTTGAGAGGGAAGAAAACATACGTACATCAAAATAACATAAGTGAATTCGCAATAAAACAACAAGTGTGTGCGTGTGTGTGTGTGTTTGTGTGTGTGAGTGTATGAATATGGTGACAGTCTTGTAAGAAACAAAAAAAAAAATACCCACTACCTTTTCAAACATATCATACGATCTTTTCGGTAACTTAAATCTCTTGTTTTTCTTTGAAACCATTAAACTCCGACATATAAATAAATCCCGTAATTATCCTTACACGAATTAAATTTTTCAAGCATCATCGCTCATTATTTTCACAATGATGATAAAGTCGTTAATATTGATTTGTCCGAGATATTAGAAATTAATCCTTCAGTCAATTGTGAAAATAATCGCGTTGGTATAACAATCACGAAATCATTTATGCGATCAATAATTCGAGTAATATCTCGCGTAGGATAAGACCGATATGAAAACAACGAGTATAAACTGGGGGGGTTTACTTCTACGCAGTCGTTAAATAAAATATACATGCTGAAGTAAGTACGTAAGTACACATCAGAGACGATACGATGTAATTTGCCAGGTCTTCAAATCACATATCATTCTCAACTTGAGCTTCTCGAAAGGTATCATTACATTCCTTTCTATTCCTCGCCATTGATCCTCTTTTGAACATGTCCCAGATATCTTGCGAAACCCTCGCTAGCGTGTTTCAATATGGTCAAACCTAATCTAAATTTAATTTCGGCAACTTTTTTAACGAAACTGAAGATATTGAAACCTTCTTCGTTTGGTTTTGTCGTCGTTGGATTTTCGGACCATTCGACCGTAGTTTCTTCGATATCTTTCGTGTGTTCGGTTGTATCGGACGACTCGTTGCTCGAAAATATAGGAGTTACAGAAGAACTAGTGCTCGAATAATTGTCTTCTTCTATTTTATCGAGTTGTTTTTCAGTCGTTATTTTTTCAACGCTATCTGCGGTATCATGAATTACATTATTTTTCGAATTAGTTTTGTTTTCAGTGTCATTAGGGAACGTCGGGCTTCTCGAACCTGTTTCTTTATGTTGCTTTTGAGATTCCTCGTGAAGTTTTTTCTTATACGAATGAAAATCATCTAAATCGTTATGTTTTATTTTTTTCTCGTCGCTACCAGGTAAAGCCAAGTCAATAATATCTAAAATTTCATTGCTTAAATCCTCTTCTTTTTGTTCTTCTTCTAATTCGTGTTTGGATGGGATTATCTGAATTACAGATTCCCTTTTAGATCTGGAAAGATGATCAAGGATCGAACGTTTTATTTTTAGAGATCTAGGTCCATGTTCAACTGCAACAGCGGTAGGTGTAATTTCAATCTCTTCGTAACCATCTTCAGGTCGTAAAGTTTGCGTTTCCGATTGATAGCCATGTCCATTAATGGAATTGGGTGGAAAGTTGAGACCTTGGGCAATGTCACGTTCAAATTGCGTCAAGCCACTTTCCGTTGATTCTTGGAAAACGTTGGGTCCCTTTTTATTCGTCGTCGATAAGGTAGGATGTTTATCGGTAAATGGTGGATATTCTTTCGGTATATTACCAACAACGAATTGCCTATTTCCTGAACTATCTTGACTGATTACAAATTCATTATGTTTTTGTGGATCGTAATAAGTTGGCGTAGTTTGTACTTCAGAATATTTGTAATCGGTATTACGATATTTAAGTACAGACGCTGTATTTTCAGTTGGTTTGTAAATAGGCGACGACGATGGCGAAGGATATCTTTGATCCGTTCTTCTTATCGATTGAGTATCGTACGCACCATCAAAATGTTGATAACGATAATAATTCTTATCCAAATCCTTGACCCCACTTGACGATCCAAGACCAAATCTATTCTCGTGATTAGTCATACCTTGCAATACCTTTGACAAAACTTCTTCTTCGTTCTGTCCATAATTACCACCATATTCATCCAAATTGTATTTGTAATTAGGTTCCACCTCGTAATTTCTTCGGGTGATTGTTCCACCGAAAGGATACAGGAAATAAGAAGCTAATCCCAAACCTAATCCGAGTAACGACATTACTCCAAAACTAGGCATTACTTCTCTGCTGAGAAAACTGTAGATCTGCGAACTTATCCCTTTTTGCGGTGGTTTCTTCTTAGTTTTCGTATTGCTATTCGTAATTTTGGATTCAGGTTCAATTTTAGATTCTTGAATAGCGTTGTCCAATAGTATTGGTTCGGCTGATATTTCGATTATCTCCTCAGCTGTTACAGGAACAATTGTGCTCGGTGTAGTTGTGGTTGATGTTGATGTTGATGTTAACGGTGTCGTGCTAGATGGCCTACGACGCCTAATCTTGTTCTTCTTCCTTTTATTCGAGTTTCTTTGTCGTTTCGTTGTCATAGATGATGGACTGGACGTCGTCATCGAATTTTCTAAGCTCTCCATTTCTGTACTGATCTTAGTCAGTTCAGGATTGAAATCAAATTTCAAATCAATGCTAGTACCATTAAGATTAACTAAATTAATATCAGGCATATCGTCATCAGGCTTCTTTTCCACTTTCTGAATCGTTAGAATGGGTGGATTTATTTTAATAGGTTCTATTTCGATTTGAGTAGAGTCATCGATTGGTTTTTTCAATTGCACCTTCAAGACGTTATTTATACTTGCCCCAAGAGGTTTAGATTTAACTGGTACTTCTACTAAATCAGCATCCGAGAAATTAGGTTTAGAAGTGGTAGAAACGTAAACGTTCGGAACAGTCGTCGTTGTTGTAGTTTTCTGAGTGTCCATGAGAACAGAAGCCTTGATCTTAGTAACGAACATTGGTTTTTCCGTGATCTCGTTCTTTGGTTTTGGTGTTGTAATCATTGGGACTGCTTTGAACGTAACTTTTTCAACCTTAGCTGTCGTAGAATTGTCGTTCTTTGATATGTCAGGTTTCACGGTTGTCCTTCTCATGTGGGATGGTTTAGGTTTTCCTTGTTGAGGTCTTTTAGTTTGTGCCGTACCAGATTTGTTAACAACGGTGGATCTAGGAGTCGTACCTTTAACCTTTAAAGTAGATCTTATGATTTGAATTTTCTTTGTGGTCGCTGTCGAAGACATAGATGCCGACGTTACTTTATTTTCCACATTAGATGCTGCTAAAGTTGTACGTGATACCTTGGAAGTCGTATTTTCGATGGCTTCCAACTTAGCCAAGGATTGTGTGGTTTCGTCCTGTTTCGTTGAGGAATTATTACTAACAGTTGTTTTTTTTAAAGTACTGTTACTCGTAGCTTTCTTCGTCGTACTCGGAAATATGACTTTCTCTATCGAGCCAGTCGATGGTAATTGTGATGTTGTCTTTTGCTCGTTCTTCGTATTCTTAACCTCTATTCTTCCATGAGTCACGATCGGTTTCAAAGTATATCTTACATCGTTCTCAGGTTGTTTAGTTGTACCAGGTTGATCAGTGCTATCCGTGAGACCCTTCATTGTCGTCGATGGTGGATTTAATAGAATCCACGTCGAGATACCGCCAGTTGTCGTTGGATGATTTTTATGAGCTATCATCAATCTGGTAGAACCCATTTCCTTTTCGAGTTCTTCTTCGGTCATGACCATCGCTTGACCAGGATGACTATTCTCAAAATAACCAAATTTCGAATTCATCGGTCTACCAAAATTAATTCCCATAGATTCGAGATTACTTATTTCGGTATTTATTTCCTTTACGAAGGATGCTTCGTTCTTCTCGTTCAATCTCGAATCTTTAATATCTAATTTATTATTTTTCATTCCTTCGTTTGGATTCGTTACATTTAATAACTGCGTAGCGACCGTTCTTAATGACTGGTTGATGTGTTGCAGATCTTTCAGCTGGCGTTGGGTTTCATTGAGTTGAACACTGAAATGAAAATCTCCTGTGAGATCGTTTCGTTTTATTTAGGCTATGGGGTGTTTTTAATGAAATTATATTTAATTTTCTAGGACAATATGATTCTATGTTCATTGTATGCTGATAATTAAATATTATCTTTTAGTATCATCAATGATTTTTTATCTCAATACCACATATTTTTTGTTTTTTTTTCTCTTTTTACTTTATTTGTGTTTAATGTTCTTACCTTAGACGGAAAAGAATACTTAAAATTTCCTTTATAATAGATTATCATTACTGTATTATTTTAAGGAAAATAGGGACGTGGGATATGTCGTTTGTTGTGTAAAGTTTAAAATTATAATATATCTAGGTAATTCTTTTTTTTTTTTCATTTTAATTTCACGTTTAATTTGAATCAAACACTCACATACAATGCGGTTTCAAACTGAAATAAAATCACAAGATTCTTTTTACTTGGAATATTTTATTCAAATTACAAATTCATTCTCATGCTGTACGATGATGATCAATGTTACCTGTTTCGATATTCGAGAATGTAAAAAAAAAAAAGAAAGAAAAGATTATTCCTTGACAATGGTTGAAATTATCAGAGAAAGATAAATAATCGTAAAAAAATAAACGGAACATTAATTATATCTATCATTTTCAATTAACATTAAACTTATGAAATATAATGGAATTTCATTATTGATTATACTCACAATCTACTTTATAAGTTAATAATATACTTAACGATTAAATAAATATCTACAAGATAATTAATATCAATTTAATCTGATAATGAATAAAAAAACAAATCACGTTTCTTCCTCTTTTTACTTTTCCATTCGTTCAATCGTTTATATTTTTCCAGGGAATGTCTGACAACTTCGTCGAGATTAGGTCTGAATTTGATCGTAACAGGATTAGATGCTCTACCAAAATCAAATGCACTTGGAATCGTCCAGGGAAATATAAAAGCAGCTATCCCTAAAATACCAGCAGCAAGAGCAGCGAAAGGAGCTGCTGCTAAACTGAACAAACTATAGTTCAAAGGATTGAAGAACGTAAGGTAGGTGAAAGTTGATGTTATCGATTCCAATACACCACTTGGAGATAAATCAAAGTCGTCATCGTCGTCATCGTCATCGTCATCGTCATCGTCATTGGTTATAGCAGATCCTAAATTGGAACCACTGGAAGGATGATTATTCATCAATTGAGAAACTGGGTTAGGTAAATTAGGACGATTTGGAAGTTCGGAATTGTGTGAAGTACCAAGATCATTAGCGTTACTATTTCCTTGTTCATTTCCGGATAGATCGGTAAACGTAGAAGATGCAGGTTGTCCTTGATCTACCGTAGGTGCTACATTGTCATTAACAGGATCAGAAATATCATCTAAATTTTCGACCGGTGTTTCGGATAACGTTGAACCATCAACGTCGTTAAGTTGGTCGTTCAAGTTGGTCACGCTTACTTGAGTATTCTGTACAACTTGAAGGATTGGTAGGTCGGAAGAAATGTAATTAGGTTCGGAGGAAATTTCCGATTGAAATATCTCGTCTTTCTGTGGTATATAATCATGATGGTACGAAGGAGGACTGTAAATTGCGGTTGGCGAAGTCTCGTAATTGTTAATTGAGAAGGAAGGATAAGTATCATCTATCGGACCTACATATTTATTATTTTCACTTGGAGACGAATCCGCGTTATTTGGGTCATCGATTGTAGTTTCCGCGGGTTTGATCACGTTAGTATTCAAAATATGTGAATTAATGATGATATTCAAATCCGTACATCCTTCTTTACTTTCAATTGTATTATTTACATTGGTAAACGAGTTTATCATGATGGTAGGACAATTTTCATCAAAGTTAACGTTCTCTTTAATCTTATCCTCTTCCGATAAGAACATTACCTGCATGTTTGGTTGGGAATCTGAGGTAATAGAAGCTGATTTAATAGAAGTAACAGGCATTGAGATATTCTTCTGAAGATCATTTATCTCGGTTAATGTACTGTTAGATTTTTTCGAACCATTGTTAAGAATATGAACGACCGTGTTTTGCGTTATTTGCGTTATAGGCTTATATCCGGGCTTCTTTAGTGGCAAAGATGCCGCTTCAATCAAATCTTTATTTGTCGTGGTTGTTTCCCAGTTCGGTGAGACGTGTAATAAATTATCGAAATAATTATTACCATTGTTATGATTTAATGTGTTATCTATGGATGGTTTCAAAGGAAGATTAGGTTCGAGATCCTCGTAAATTGGTTTGAAAGTTACACTGATAGGACCATCGAATTCATCGTTATCTAACATTTGACTTTGATTCGAAGAAAATGCTGGAACTTTCATCCACTGAACAATTTCTTGAATACCAGGTTGCATGGCAGGTACTCGATGATGAACATTCGAATTATTATTGTTAGGATTAATCAATTGATCTGTATTTTGAAAATTTTGAATTTGTTCGGGAAAGGACGTGTATCTGTGATAATTATAAAAATCTTCCGCATCTTTTGGTATATCATTAGGCCAATTTTTGAATAAAGAATCAGTCGGAGGTATTTGATTATTTAACTGTGAAACATGCCTATTATTTTTCGTATTAATAATATTATTATCACGTTTTATGAAATTGATCGAAGGTTTGCGAAAATTCGTGGTAATTTTGGATGGGGGAGAAATTTTCCTAACACTCGTCGACAATTTCGAATTCTTCGTTGATTCGCGTAGGTCGTTGATTGTGTGTTTAGAAAAAGTCAATCTCGTAGCGTAATTCTCACGATCCCTCAACATGGTATTCGTTACATTCCTAATAGCAGCGACTTGTGGAAACCGGTTGTAAGAAAGCACAGGAGTACTACCATAATGTCCGACCTTGACAGAGTTTCTATAAGTCGATGCTGGTGTGTTTTTGCGATCCAGTATATCTACTCGTTCTTCTGAGTTTAAATTCTGGTTCAAGGCCAGTCCATTCGCTTCCAACCTTCTCTTTCCTGAATTATTCATAACTTCGCGTTGGGAATCATCATCGAGTCTCGAATCATGTGCATCATTGACTCCAGTTAATACATTTTCATGATTACTTAATTTGTAAATTTGAGAAAGATTCAAACGACGTGAAGCATAAATCGATCTATCATTTTTATCATGATTTGATAATTTAACTTGACGATAAGGAAATCTATTTGAACTATTCATCGGTCGAAAATATTCATTTTCTTTTAATAATTTGAACCGGTCAAATGAGCCCCTAACGGAATCTACCGATCCTGAACTTACCTTTCTAATAATATTACTACTAGTTTTACTACTACTACTATTACTACTACTACTACTACTACTATTTCTACTTTTGATCGGCAAACTAGCATTGGTATAACGATAATAGTTAATGTAAGACTTTCTACGACTTCCGGAGTTCTCCGTATACCTGCTGTCACCTCGGTGAACATTTTCGGTAGTCTTTTCCATGGTCGGTTTCATGGGTTTCCATTCCTTGTTGTTTGTCTCGCTCGTTGGTTCCCGTTGTAAAATCGTTTCCGTGTCTGTAAAATGTAAAATACGACTGACGTTATCAAACGTGTTTCCAAAGCCTATTAATGCTAGTCTTTAGTTAGTTTAGGTTGCGCGACGTACATCTATAGAAAATAATTATGCACATTAGAGTACATGTTACATACGATCGATTTGGTAAGGATTGATGTAACATCATCGATGTGCATCGACAAAATTTTCGAAATCAGGAAAGATGGTGAGACTCGATTAGACGTTAGAAATTTTCTAACGAAATTGTTTGCTGCTATTGCGTAAAACACGTATCGTATAATTGTTCGTTTAGAAACAAACGAAAAAAAAATACTGGTGTGTGTACTTATGTACATGAAATTATACTTCTTTAGCGTACTAAAACGAATATAACCTCAAAAATAACTTCAATTTGCCCGCGCATCGTAAATATCGACAACTTCGTGGTGTTGATTTTTCGGTCGCATCTAATTTCACTTTCCAAAACGCGCCAAAAGAAATATAACTTCAAAAAAATAAAACAAAAATATATATATGTATTGTAGATAGAATAGAAAAGAAAAGAAAATTTACAATATACACAACTTTCGTTCGAAGGAGTTCATTCTAACGAGGGAACAATCGAAAGTGACAGAGCCCGTCTTAATTAGCGAAGAAATCCTCTCTTGGTTCTTTCAACGTCAGTATTAACTTACTTCATTGAATATGGATGCTTTTCAGATCGTATGAATCTCAACTCTTATTTTAATTGCATCCAATTTTTTTCATGTTTTTTTACGATATATTATTCGACATGTTACATAATATTATAGTTTATGCTATCATTATTACATCATTAATCGTAAATTTATTCTATTTTTTTCTTTTTTTTTTTTCATCAAATTTAACTCGTACAAAAATTATTTTCATCGAATACGTGTGTTAAACTTTTCAAGTCGTGTTAATCACGATCAAACTTATGTAACAAGGATGAATTAAAAAACTTTTATTTTATCGTGTGTAAAAAAGAAAAAAGTAAGTTTGACTTAACAAAAAAATAAAAATTGTTTCAACCCATCACCCATGTATAAAAATTTATCTATATGTATACAAAATTTATTCAATGCGATATAATATTTTGCGCGATCATTATTATGTTTAAACCGATCGCAAAAGAATAACTCATTTGTTTTTTTTTTTCTAAGAAAAAAAAGCTTAATTCGTATATTAATTTCTCTATCTGACTATTTATTTAATTTTTTTTTATAATACAATCATAAAAAAAACATTTCACGTAATATTTGATTAAACTTACCGATTGTTTGAGGCCTGGCATTGGCGAATCCTGCTAACAACAGAGCCAACACGATCCTGAATAGTTCCATTCTAGTTCGTGCTCTGAAACGAAGAAATATAGAAACACCATGAGAAATGATAGTTCTTTCTTCCAATCACTTAGGTAAGAACAGTCAGAGGAGAATTTTTGCTAGTCTTTTAGGTTGTCAAGAGGAAACGACGTGATCGTTTTAGTCACGATACGAATCCTTTATAGCCAATTTAACGAGTAAGGTCTCGATCGAGACAGTCTTTCGTATTCGATTCTCGACTATCGATCGTTTGTCTCGAATACGTTACTCGCATGTCAATTTTATTAACTAAGATCACGAAAATGGTGTTCATCGTTGATTTCATGGCTCACGGCTTTTGGTGTGTCTTTTTATATGTTTATTCTTTTTTAATATTACGTAAATAAAGGGTAATTGTTTTCTCGGTTTACGCGTATTCGTTAATTTGACAATTTTTTTTTGAACAGGAATAAATTTATTTTCATTGGCGTATATTTTTGATTAGGATGGAAACGAAATGATTAGGATTTTTCATATTATTTTTTAATTCATTCGAAACGTTCACGAGTAAGAAGATAAACGATCGGTATCGAATCGTATGTATAAGCATTTTCGTGAATATTATTTTTTAATAATATATATATATATATATTGTAAACTTTTTAATTTATTTATTCTTTAACGTTTGTCAAAATATTTCATTTATTCATCAGTCTGAATTCTAAAATATTCTTTCATCAAAGTGATAGGAAATTATTAAGAGTTTAGAACATTTTTTAACATTTTTATCTAACATTCACGAGTAAGATATATGATCAATAAATGATAGAAAGCTGTAATTTTTGAAATTCCATTGATGAAATAACCGTCGATCGAGAATCCAGGAATGCCTTTTTTACCGTTGCATTTTTCGTTCATATTTGTGTCTACTAACGGTATCCCCAGTCATCGTTCTTCTTGGACCTCTCTCACTTTGCATGAGTCGCGTGCATCGAACGTTTCTATGTTTTTTTTTCTACGATCGTGAAAGAATATTTAAGATGAAAAAAAGAAAACAAAATATATAAAAGAGAAATAGAAAGAGAATTATTTATTATTAACGATATAAGAAAGTATTCGCAATTTTTGTTTCCTATTATTTTTGTCTCTTTTTTTTTTTTTATAATTTTTTATTCTTCGGTTGGTTAGTTCGACGTACCGTTAAGTGAATCGTCGTAACGTGACGAATAAAATATCTGTCCGATTTCAATATAAATCGTCTCTCTCGTTCTACTTGAAAAATCCTCGTGTTACAAGTTCTTTGCCAAAAACTTTGACAGATATAATAAATTGTTCCTCTCGATTGAACCCGATTGCTTTCTATTTCTTTGATCTTATGGAATAAGAAAAATATCTGTGTTTACGGAAGCGTGCTATTATGGTGATAATGAAAATTTCACTCGAAGGAAAATGATGATCGTTCGATTTGTACATTTTGCATTTCACTCGATCGCATAGACGACTATTTGTTCTTTTTGTTTTTGTTCTCTCGAAAACTTTCTTTAATCTCTCTCAAGAATATTTTCAAGATAAAATAAAAAGAAAAAAAAACAATTCAAATATGTTAATATAGAAATCTAATCGTCAATGGTGGTGACGTTTAAAAAGGCTTACCTGAAATTCAATTAAAACAAAAAATTCTTTCAAAGAATCGCACCAACAACGGACATCACACCGAGACACCACAAATATCAATCACGCGCGGGTACACTTAATTATTCGCAAATCAAATTTAACGAATCTAAACGAAATAATTATAAAGATATTTCCGCGTGAATTACCATAAGATTCATTAGGCTTTTTATTTTCTTTTTTTATATCAAAGAAGAAAATCAGACGAAGAAAAGTAAAATAAAATGAAACGAGACGATCTCGTAAAAAGATAAAATAAAAAAACGAATCGAATAGAGAAAGAAATTTAATATCGCGAGTAAGGGGAAAACAAAAAAAAGAAAAGGAGATCGATAAAATCAAATGAAGTATTTTTTTCGTATCGAATTAAAAGATAATTATGCGCGAAAGAAAGTAATCGAAATTGAATTCGCGATTTTACTTGTCTATGAGATCTACGTAGATCTTTCGACAATGGTGCACGGCTGACTGACTCGAGGTGGACGTCGGGAAGACGAGTAAAGTCGATTCGGTGTGTTAAGAAGGAGAAAGAAATAAAGAAATGAAGAAAGATAGAAAGAGAGAAGGTTTAACAGGCGCCTCAAAGCTACGAGTATTTCAATGCTGATGCGTAGAGGGTCCCCCGTTTAGTTTGTACGAGACTACCCAGACCCGTTACTTCGTTCCTACGAGATGTCGACGGGTTGAATAACCTTCGGCCAACTCACGACAGGTAGTCCTGCCTTAGATATGCCTACACCGTATGCAAAATCCCCATATGTTTATTCAAAAGATTCCTAAATGTAGGTAACGATCATCTTTAAATGGACTTACGAGAACCAACGTCCTTCATTTCTTCATTCCAACGTTAGTGACTTGGAAATAGGTTACTCGTAGTTTTACTATTCTTTATCAATGACTTATTTATAATTAGGAAAATTTTGTGTAAAGGAATTCGATGGTTAATCATGTTCATGGAACGATCTTCAAACCTTTCATTAATATGTATTAACATACAATTGGAATATTTTCTTTTTTAAAATTATATAATTCTTGCCTAGTGAAAATGTTTTAAATGATTATTGAGTTTTTAAGATTATTATTTGTAACGTTGTAGTGTTTGAACAATTTTTATGTAATGTATTGAAATCTTTGTATATATGAAAATAAATAAAAAATATGGATAATGTATTTTAAAAGTTACATAGCGTCGTAATGAATTTCATCAACGCGGCTCATATTTGTTTTCGAACGAATAACAGATAAAAATGAAATGAATTTTGTTCATTAATAATTTATATTTCTCTTACAATTATAATATATAATAAATATATATGCTCGTTAAGCTGATGATACTACAAAGAACTACGCGGAACTATCGCGAGTAGAATTCCAAGTGGTAAATAGAATGAACATCAATTCAATCGCCCACACCTCGACACAACTTGCTTTTTTCCCGTTGGCTCGCTTTCGATGAACGAGCGGTGAACCGGCTCGAAGATTCTACACCATCGTTCTAACGCCATCAACAACTACTACTATTACTACTACTACTATTACGAACTCCGGATGCTTACTTCGTTCCAGAAGGACGAGAATGGTTAGAACATTTGTTCTAAAAGTACAAATGACGATCCACTTGTACCAGTGATCCACTTGTCGTTCATCACCACACCCAACAATTACAAACGATCTAACATTACTTATTGTTTTCTTTTTTTTTTTCACAAGATTTCAAATCAACGTCAACGTGATCAATTAATTTCAATTATTGCACGATCAATGTTGACGATGACATAGATAAAAATTTGAATACAAATTTATCGGACACCGATATCTATGATATTAAACAACAACAACAACAACAACAAGAATAAGGATGAAGGATTAATTGAGCATAAAGCCGTTCTTGAAAATGGTGTTATTTGAGTTTCCGTCAAAATAAGAAGATATTACAACAGGAATCAAAAAACTTGAAGGGTAGGTTAATCGTTAGTATTATAAATACATTGTCGGTCCCGGAAGATATATAATAACCGAATGTACCGGACGTCCCAGAATCGTCCACCGTCGAGTTTCTATGTGGGACATAGCGGCACTTCTCATAAGGCTTTAGATACCTTTGCAGTCGTTTTACGAAGAATTGTTAATTCATAAATAACATCTTTCTTTTCCTGTCTTCTGTGTTTTTTTCTTTTTTTTTTTTTTCGACAATACGATTCATATACGATTCGAGAATTATTAATATATATACGAGTGGATTTAATTTTTAACCAAGATGAAATTGGACACGTTTATTATATAAAATTGTTTTGTTTTTTTTTTATTATTATTTCTTATATTTCCTGTCCCTATTTCTGAACTCGTTATTTCGTATCTTATATATTTTGATAGATCCTATATATTGTTTTATGATTAACAATAAGATACACAACAATAAGAAATACTTTGACAACTATATTGAAATTCATATTGATGCTTAAGACAGCTCCTAATTTATCTATCTAATCCGCTACACCATCCTAGTTATTATTCGCTATGCTTAAACAGACGTGTTGCGAGTAACGGTAGATCTACATTATAAAAAAGACAAACTGAAGTTTGATCAAGAATGTGTGACCATTTTTATTGGCAAATGAATTTACGTTAGTTACGATTTACGGAAATTTGTATTGTTTTTTTTTTTTTTTAAGAATTTCTTATTTACTTAGTTAGATCGAGATGAAATTATGAGCTTTCTAGTTACAGGGTTCGTTGAATGATTTCGATTTCGTTCTACTTGGCTGCAAAGCAAACGTAGAGACAACCGGTTGATACTTTGAACTGACAGCTAATTATAAAGACTTTGTTTAATATGTACAGTGACTCGCAAAAATCATTATTTGGTCTTACTTAACTTTGCGTCAAAGTAATGAATTGTTATATTAGAATATTTAATATTAATGATATACTAGTGTAATTTATTTAAATATAAAAAAATTCGAAATATTGATAGAGTAAAATTAAAGCTAAACTATATAATGTAATTTTATTTATATTACAATGATCATTTTTGTCTATCACTGTACATTGGTAGTACACGTCTATTAATGTATTTGATGGTTGTCTGTTGAACGAGTTAGAAAATCGATTAATTCCTTTTCCCAAGACCATCACTGTTTCTAACAGTTATTTAATATTTTTTTGTCGATAACGGTGCTAGCTCTCATGAAGCTTTAAGGAAACGTTCTCGTTCGTTCATCTTAATTATTAATGGCCGATCTAACAACGCACTTTTCACAAAGACGAATAGACGTTCATGAAATTATGATTTCTAATCATTCGAATCAATCCTATAAACGTAATGAGTTCAGTTTATGATTCTTTATATGCATAGATTACCGTTCTTATGCACGCATTCTTGCACGTATTTATTTAACTAGGTCTCAATGCCAAATTTATCCAAAAAAACAAAACAAATGATTAATAATAATTAATAAGAACAATAATACAAAAAGTAGAATCATTGAAGATCACGATGATAATGATAAAAAAAATGAATAGAATAAAGTATGAGAGAAAGAGAATTACAGTATAAAATAAATTGGTTATAAGTTTAATGTTATATAAATGTTGAATAATTAAATGATATAATCAAATTAACTATAAGAGAAGTAAATAGGAAGGAAGGTCATCGATCTTCGAGAGATCGAAAGTCTGACTGAGTTAGCTGCGTGCACCGAGCCGTGCATCGGTGACAGTGAAGAACACGCTTAGGATGACATTGACATTCGTGAAAGGCGGCAATGATCTTAGCTAACGTAACCAAGCTTAGTGCTAACGAGCCGGCAAACAGCTCGTTTTACGCGCATCTTTCCTTTTCGTTCTTATCCTATCAATGAAAATGGAAGTAAAGTATATATATACATATATATATATATATATGTGTATATATTCCTTTTAGAATACAATGCAGTACAGTTTTGACGAGTTATTTACACTTTCTACTTTATCTCGTTTATTCACGAATTATATTTTTTCTTTGGTTGCATATCTATTCGATTAATTAATAATCAATGTGTCCAATTTTGTAATTAAAAAATTATCAGTATTATTTAGTTTTAAGTATAAAAGTATACTCTCAAAATTATTTTGAAAAATTAATCGATGAGTAAAGTTCAAACCTTAGCATTCGAAATTCAATAGTATTATAAGTAAAAATGTTTAACTATTTTTCAAAATTCGCTAAAGTTTTCCTTTCTTTTTTTTTTTTTTTCGTACTACTATTACCTGACAATCTATCAAAGTTCTATGGGATAAAATGAAAATTGAAAGAATTGAAATGTTCGTTTACATTTTGAGAGAATTTTAATCTTACCTTGCTCGTTCGATCGATCGATTAGTATTATTCAATGTTTTCTGGCCCCTCGCACTGAACGATTTCCTTTCTCTTTTACAAGTAGAAAAATGTTGAATAAAATTTGTCCCTTTTTATTTTGCTTCCTTTCGATGTATCTCTCGTTAAAATCGTTCTCGGTCGTCTCTTCATGACCGTCTTATGCGAAAATCGTAAATCTTAGCGTTTACGAGACGCTCGGATATTTTACGACACCGTCAAATGGCTGTAACGTAAAATTAGTTTGCGTGATTTACAAGTTCTCTTACATTTCTTATCATGAAATGATACTGAAGTAAACCAAAAAAAAAAAAAAATAATATAACATACACTTATGATTTTATCGCGATATGATTTACTATAAAATTCAATGATGCATGAATAGAAAATGTGATATTGTCAATAAATAATTTATAAAAAGTTAAAGATAAAAAATATTTTATCATAAAATAATCGGTAATTACCTTTTCGAAAAATAATACAAACTTCGTATATCTTTCGGTATCCGTTATGATAAATCTCGAAATATAAAGAAGAAATAATATTTCATCAATGATGAACGACTTCCTGTAAATCTTTGATCGTTTCGTCCTTGCGGCAAATTCTTCACGTTGGAGAATTCTTCTTTATTTTATTTCTCAAGTGCAATACAGAAATGATTCTCGCGTTAACCGTTTTCCGTTGGATTCCGTGCACGAATGGAGGAAAGAGCATCGAAGCGATAAACGCGAATATATCGAGAAATAATCTGGCACGAAAATGTGAAACCTCGATGAAAGTTTCCTTTTGTCTCTTCCAATGGGATTATCCTTTTACAAAGATATCTATATTTATCTGTAGATTAAATTCCACATTCGAGATAATCGTTGAATTTTTATTTTTATTTAATGATATACTCTTCTCTCTTCTCTATTATATCAATTAGTTGTAATGAAAAAGAATTTGATTTTAAAAGTATCCAGGACGAATAAGTATACTTATAAATATCATATATATATATAAGTCTTCCTTTCTCCTCGGATAAACATATCTTTATTACTTCAGCATCCTCTTCTGTCGAAAGTTTTCTCAGAGTCTAGATCGAGTCAGGATACGTGGTGGTTAACTTTACCACAAGTTGAAACACTTTGATCCTCAAAAGTGTATCACCACAATACGTACGAACAAATAACAAATTAATCAAATTTTATTTGATAAATTATATCACGATCGATGAATCATTATCTATCGTATAACAGCGTATGTATGTTCGGGCTGCGAGTTAACGAATGAATTCTTCTTGGTCAGACAATCTAAAGTATACTCTCCTGAAAGTACTCCTTGTAACTTCTTTTAAAGACTCTTCGTGAATGTTTCGTTGTCGTGTTCCTTTTCGTGACTGTGAGTCTTTGGTCAATGAGATATAATGTGTTTAAGACAACTACGAACCGCCCTAAGTGTAATACCTTCAGTTACATTTTCTGCACTACCATTGAATCCTTTAATTATGGGACTGGAAACCTTCTTCTTCTTTTTCTTATTCTTCTTCTATTGTCTTGACAAATAAAAACGGGACTCTGTATTAGCGTCGAAACGTAGCTTCCTCGACCACGTTGAAATATTTAGATATTAGCCTTCTTTTTCCCCTTGACAGTTAATAATTTATCTTCTTATAATTTCCGGTGGAACATCAAGGTTGCTCGTTTATAGAAATCTGTAACTACTTTGAAATCCTTGTAAGAAAAGTAATTACTTGATTTAATTATCTTTTCTACTATTATTTATTTGTCTTATATTTTCTTCTCTTCATATATATATAAGAAGGTGGGGGAGTGGACAAATGAAAGAAATATTAATTATCTTTCATTTCGATCACAGTATACTATACGAATGTTGGAAATGCACTGAGAACGAAGTGAGTCTGACCGCCCCCAATGTAGCTTCTTCTTCTTCTTCTACTTCTTCTCCCCATCGAGCGATTTAATAGTGGGGACTCCTAGATCCCTTCTTTTCTCTCTTACTATTTCTATCTCTCTTTATTTCATACATATAAATACACATACACATTTCTAGTCTCTTCGTCATTTCGCAGCCCTCTACGTCTTACCTTTAGAAAGACACTATCTACTTTCGTATCTTTTCTTCTTCCTCTTTTCCTTCCTTTCTACACGTTCCCACGAAGCTCCTCTTCCATGGCTCACCTACCTACCTACCTACCTACCTCTTTCACTCACTTGGAGTTATGTTCACGGAAAGTGGAGACTCGTGTTGATTTGAATCTTCGTTACAAATAAAAAACACAAAAAACCTTGCCTTTCGACAAAAAACACTTAGTGTCAAATGTTAATTTGGTAATTTCTAGGTTGTCTTGAAAACGATCGGACGATTTATTTGGTTTTTTTTTTCGCAATGTTTCGAAACTTTTCCAATGTGTTTTTTTTTTTTCTTTTGTCACAAGCTCTTCTTCCTATTTCCTACCTATGTTAAAAGTTAACTCTTCGCAGAACTTTCACGAAAATGAATTGTATGGAAATGAAGCGACAATTAAATTCGAGAAATAATGCATCTTGTCTTCGGTTTACGGTATTCTACACACACACAAAAAAAAAAGAAAGAATTGGGACAGAGTCAATTGAACTAATCTGTCTTGTACACCAATCTCATCTACATGGCTTACAATAAACTTGAACTTTCAATCTAATTCTAAATTTATTATATATAAAATTATATAGAATATATTTGAACAAAATGTAATATCTGTTTTAATACTCATATATACGTCATTATATTTTTATTTCCTTCTGGCGAAAAACTTAAGTTGAACTCTGATCCAATCTTTAGACCCGTCAGGTTTTTAACTATAAATAAAGAAAAATTATTTTCTGTTTGTTCACAGACACACACAATTTACCAAGCTGTACTTGGAACGTTAACCGATGTATTTCTCGCAGAACGAACGACGATTACTCTCCAGCATATTTCCAATGAAGATGAGGATCGAATCGCACGCGATCTCGTACGCTCAGCTAACTTTTTTAGCGTGTTGTAAGAATAAATTTATTATATTAATCTGCATAAATACGAGCTCGGTTAGAACGAACGTTAAAGCTAGCTGTTTATATCGCCGTAATTAAAAGGTTCAACCTTTTTTTTTCTCAGGGATTATTAAAATTAAAAAGAATTTTCTTATAAGAACGAAAAAACTAATATTCTTATGAATCTTCGAATTTATAATCGGTTAAAACGTGTAATACGTTCGTTTAATTGTAAGTACAGTGTAAATTAATTAAATAGCAACTCGTTTTTTAAAAGAATTAATCATCCCGTTAATAATAGGTCACGTTTCAAAGAAAAAGAAAAAATAATATTATTCCTAAGAGAATGACTCGATCTCGTGTTGAAAAATGATTTATGCTAATCTTTTTTCTAGAATTAAAACGAATTCGTACGCATAGATAGTATGCCTATGGTATCTACGTAATTAGGGAAGGAACAATTATGATTACGGTAAATTTTTGCACGTGCGTAACTCCTCGATTCTCTTTTTTTCCTTTCTTTTTTTCTCTTTTTTTCTACGATAAAATTACAGGGATGTGTAATACTGTCTTACATAGAAACAATGTAACGTTTCTAAAGCATAACGATGCTATCGAAATTACAAGCAGAAAAATTTACTTAGAGACAGGTACAGGCTCGTTTACCCGAAAATATATGTATGCATAGTACCTCGCCAAAAGTTTAATAGCTTCACGCTCGGTCTCGGTTTTTACCTGGAAACTTAACGAACGAAAAAAAGTCAGCCTCTTTTTTCTTCATCTCGTTAGAAATAAGATGCAAATTAAATAGGATGTTCGCGAAAATTTATTAACGTACTGTTTTAATGACGAATACAAAGTGGGCCAAAAGTTTTTGTTTCTTTATGGTTTTTTTTCTTTTTTTTTTAGGTACGAATCATTATATTAACTGATTGATGGTACGAATGAGTTTTTAAGATATTTCATATGTTTTTTTTATACGTATATTTTCTATTGTTTCATTATATTATTTTTATATTATATAATTAGTATTTTAAATATAGAACATATACATGTGGGGGAATTGGAAAGATGTAAAGGTGAATGATGAAAGAGATTTATGTAGGGTTGAAAATGAAACGGTCAGGTAAGAAATGGATATGAAACAATACAGAAAGTAGAAAATATTGGGCGAGAAAGAAAAGAAGTGACTTGAAATAAAGCTCGCGCGTGTGGTTGAATAAAGTAATAAAGTAAGTAAAGGGTAGTAGGTAAAGTAAAGTAAAAAAGTAAACAATAATAAGTAAAAATGATAGTTAAAAATTATTTGAAAAAAAGAAAGAAAAAAAAATAATATATTGGATTTACTTTTGCTTGTTATCCTATTATTTTTTGGTACGCTAATATTATAGAGAAACTCTCTTTCTTTCTCTCGAAAATAGATAGTCTTCGCTTAGAAGGTCATAAAATAAAAAAAAAACCTACATTTATTGTCTCCGGATTTGCAACAGGATTTCCGGATTTTTTATACTTGACATTAAATATCAATTTCATACTTTAACTCATTGCTTATTGCTTACTGTTCATGCAAATGCAAGGTTCTTTTTAAAAAATAACCAATAAAACTAGAAACCGAATAAATATTACTAAATCTGAAGTCTCTAGATAAAAATTATATTGTTGGCAGCCCTATTAGGGGTTTACCATTCTGAGTGTTGATAGTCAATAATTTTTGACAATTTCTAACCAAGTGTATTGTATTGTGTTAAGTATAATTTTAAATAACAGATTAGATGATAAAATCAATTTTATTAACATTTATATTTAAACAATAGTAAACGACGTGTTAATTAAATTTTATTAATTTACCTTTCCTTTTTTTCTAATGGAATTTTTCTCCGTTTAGTGATAAGTTACTCGTATTATTGTTTCGTGATAAAAGTTTTATTTAGTATCATAACAGGACCTTATTTCTTTTCTAAGAAAAGATGACTACGCTGAGACCCTTCACGTGCACCGATTTATTCAAATTTAATAATGTGTACGTAAGTTATACGAGTTATTTCAAACAATATCACTTTATAACCTAACTTTTTCTTTTTCATTACGTTTCGTTTTAGCGTGTATTTATATTACTTAATTCTTTTTATTTTGTTTTTTAGGAATCTAGATCCACTTACGGAAACAGTATCCTTTTCATTTCAAATATTAATTAAAATACACAGCTATTATTTTAGAATTATATAATAATGTATATATATAAATCCAAACGCACGCCATACGTGGATGGGTTGAAAAGTATTGAGCCTCCTATTATAAAAACAATTTTTTTTTCTCGGTCAAGCTCACTTTTATTATTTGACATCCTATATTTTTCTTTAATTTTTTATTTCTATAGTATGGAGTCTCCTTTTATATGCAATATTTGGCACACTGGCCGGAATATTTCCAAGTTGCTGAATCACCAAGTGGTGAAATAATGGGCTACAGTAAGTACAAAGATTTCCTTCCATGAAATAATTTTTGTAATTTATATTTTATGTGCCGATTTAATAAAAATGACACCATAATGTATTTATATAGGATTATTATGTTCTTTTTAATATTATTTTGTAGTTATGGGAAAGGCGGAAGGTATTGCAGAAAATTGGCATGGTCATGTAACAGCTCTTACCGTTTCACCTGATCATAGAAGACTTGGTCTTGCAGCAATGTTGATTAAATTTCTAGAAGAATTATCGGAAAAGTAAGTTTTTGAAATAGAGAAAGTTTTTTAAATGAGAAGCAATAAACAGGAGAATAATTACATGTGTGCTTTGTTTATAGGAAACAGGCATACTTTGTGGATTTGTTTGTCAGAGTTAGTAACAAAGTGGCTATTAAGATGTATCAGCAATTGGGTTATATTGTGTACAGAACAGTATTAGAATATTATAACGGAGATCCTGATGAAAATGCTTACGGTAATTATTTAAAAAATTTAACAAGATAAAAATGAATTTTTAATACGTTAATTTAATATCTTTTGAATATATTTTCAAGATATGAGAAAAGCACTTTCAAGAGACGTGACTAAAAAATCTGTAATACCATTAACGCATCCTGTTAGACCAGAGGAGGTCGATTAATCCTAAGGTACACTTGCATATTTTTGTGTATTATTAAAAATAAACAGGAATAAAAAAGAAACATTCATTATATTGCATCAATTAATCTTACTTAGTTTCTAAGATGATTTCTATTAAATTAAAAGGTAAAGGTACAGGTTTTCTCTTATCCGCAGATTCAAGCAGTTTATTTTGCTTTTCTGTACAATAGTACAATATTTCCTGCTTGTCACCGCTCATCATGCCTTTATGCGCCACTTTATGCGAATAAATAATAAATAGAAATGTAAGATGGTAGGCTTAGTAGAATACTATAGACAGCCATCTACGACATACAGGTTGAATAATTTTTTCATGACGATTGTTATTTAATGGCTGTCTTCTTCTTCTCCATATTGACTCTACTACATTTAAAAACTTAAGCCTAATATATGATATTTACAGAATGAATGATTTCACTGCATCATGATACAAAGGTGCTAAGCACCTACATAATAGTATTTAGTTTGCGTATTATAAAAATTAAGGACAAAGTGTCGTTCTTGCATATCTTTGTACTGTTTCCAGTATTTTTTCTGAGGATCTCGAATAATTTATATAAATCTTTAATGCGCCAAACGAAGCTGTGCATAGATATTATTTATTCGTCTATTCTGCTCAAAGGGATGAGGCACGATCATACTCAGCCTATCTCAAATAATAATATCAAATTATAGAAGTTTTGTACGTATTGTACGATCAAGCCCTACTTCAACTTTATATATTCGCTTGTGTTTTACTAATGAGAAGGAAGACATTAACTAGTTACGTAGGACACACGTTCAAGCCGGGTACAAAACTTCTATAAGAGAGAATATTAAATTAAAATTCGAATAATGTGTATTTCTTTTGCGTTTGTGTTTTCTTTTACTATGCAGGAACGATGCTAAAAATGTTAAATAAAATATGTTCCCCTTTACATCTATTTGGTCGTGTCTTTATATAAACAAAAAGATATTCGTTTACATATTAAATAAATATAAACTATATGAGACTAGCTATTTTATCAGAATTATATAATAATACAATATATAAGAAGTTTTGTCACATTACTTTCGGTATATAGAAAAAATCTTTTCCGAGGTCCGTCGTCGAAGTGATTGAAAAAACAATAGCTTCTCTTTATATTCCTTATCCTCGTCGTCGTTCGGTATTCATAATCATTTTTTAACAGATAATACGATACGCGGAAGAAAAATTGTCAAAATGTCTCCAAATCAATAGCATCTCAAAAAACATCTTTTTTTTTTTCTGTGCTCTGACAGTATAGGAATTCAGTTCAATTCACACCGTTTTTGTTAAATTGATTTTTCACATACGAGTTGTACAAAAGCTGTTGTATTATTACCGCACTTTGTTTGGCAAGAAGTACATTTTCTTGTCTTTTTTTTTTTATTTATTATTAATTTTTATTTTTATTCGACATGCTCTCTCTCTCTCTCTCTCTCCTATCAGAGAGTAGTAGTTATCGCATATTACTTTTTCTTTATCTGCGTATTTCTTTTTTCTTCTTCTTATAGTTATTATTATTTTGTTTTAATACTAAATTTCTAAACACATTCAGTAATTCTGATTAATATATATGTACATAGTACGTGATACATCACATAAATTTAGTATTTTATACTAGAGATTCGTATTTGGTATATAAATACGGTAGCAAAACGTTTCCGCACGATGCTCAGCTTTTTAACATGAAATTATTCGATGTAATTAGACATACTAATTAGGCAGTGTTACAAATCGATTCGAGTAATTTTCAGTCATTCTGTTGCACCATATATACACATGGTATATGGTCTCTCTGTGCTATATGCGCCGTTAAATATTTACACAAAAGTCATCTACAAGCTTCCATTCTAATTTACACAAAACACAACCAAAATAACTGCTGCACTCACTGCTCTCTCTCTTTCTCTCTCTCTTTCTCTCTTTCTCTCTCTCTCTCTCTCTCGTTCTAGTGCTATCTGATATACCATTCGCACAAATAGTTTGTCTGCTATTTTCTTCTTTTTTTTTATCCTTATAATACAATAGATTATACCTTTGTATATAAAGTTAGTGCCTTGACAATCGGTCAATCGGTCAAACTTTGATAAGTCAGTAAACACATTCTTTCACATCATTCTCAAATATAATCCAACCAGTCTTTTTAAGGTCTTTGGTGATCTGGAGTTGATTTCAAAATATCCGGCTGTGTTGGAAGACAACTTGAACCTAAAATAAATGTTGTCAAGTAATAATCTTATTCTCTTTTCATTGAAATAATATAAATAATTCTTTACAAACCAGTAGCAGGTCTAAGAGTCGATTTTATAGATCTGTGTGAACCATTGCGTGTTAAAGTATTCATTTGAGGGGTGCCAGGTAAAGCGTGTCCAAGTGCATTCATGTAATCAGCTATTAATAGCGTTATCTCTAATATCTGTAAGCCACGCGTACATTATTTTTATTTATTCGAAAATCATATAATTTAAATTATATGAAAAGATGTTCTTTTTAAAATCGCATACCTTCGGTTTGGAAAGAGCGAAAAGAAGTTTTTGTTCCGCGGCACCCTCGTCTGGGCAAGCAACCAGCATGAAATCATCTAAACAGCCTCCAAAAGTGACTATATTTGCGTAATTATAACGGCACATTACTGCCATTGTTTGTAATTCGAGTAACGTTACGCTATCTTCGTTAACTGCTATCCAAACGGTTACCGGATCATTTTGTTTCAACTGGAAAATATTATTTTCGATGATTTATCATGTATATTTATTATACATTTAAATTATTTTTTCGCATCAATGATAATATTTACTTTAGCTTGATAAAGTGTAGCTCCGAAAAAAGGCCACTTTCTGGTACACGTTAAATATATACGAACACAATCTAATACACTGCGTCCTCGTAAAGCGATCCATTTTTCTTGAAGTTTCTCCTGTAATTCTCTGCATAACAATTTTTTATTTACGTATTAATGTTTAAAGATTTTTATCTCTAGTAATATCAACATGAATTTAACAATCATTCTTTTATGTGTACCTCAATTGATCACCAGTGATGTTGATCCGATAGCGTATTGGAAAAAATTTATCTAATGCTTGATAAACTAAATGATGCGGATTACTTCCAGGACCGCTTCCACGTGCTTTGTCGTTATTGTATTCCCCAAAATCGATCTGCAATGTAAAGAAACATAAAAAAGATCAAGTGGCTCAATGTAAAAAGTGAATTTTGACATAAACAGACCTGTGCCATCAATGATGCAAGCTCAAAAGCAAGATCACGGTTCAAAGGAAATTTTCCTTGTACTACTTGTTGATTTACTTGATAACACAGTAATAATCTTTCCCTGTCGGTTTCCATTTTAGCTGCTTGCCTCCAATAACATCGCGATTTGTACGTCAATTGTATAACTCTAGTATTTTCAAATTTACCCGATCTTTTTTCGCGCAAAGCTGTCTCCCATTTCGAAATAATATCACAAAGCTAAAATAAAATATTAATATAGAATCATAATTTGTCCGATAAACGTATAGTTACATTTCTATATTTAATACCTTCGCTTGAAGATCGATAAAATGTTCGAGATCTTTTTCTATAGGATCATCACTGAATAATGTAAAACCCGACTGATGTACGTCCCGACAACCAATCTCTTGATTTAACGTATTTATAAATTCCTCTATCGTAGTGCTACCATCGAAACTGACTACTTGATAAGTGCCATTTAAGAAGTGTACAGGTATAGCATGTGGCAAGGAATGATGGTATGGATTTTTCATCAATATAGAAAGTACTTCCATACGTGATGGTTTAACTTCCCTTCCACCGTTCTGCAGTGTTCTTTCCAAAGCTCTCTCGCAGTAGGCTGCGTATTTACCACATTCCGTTCTAAAGACCAACCAAAGAAAGAAAGAAAGAAAAAAAAAAAAAAAAAAAAAAAAAAAGAAACACAAGCATTAGTAATATCATCATCATCATCATCAAATGCAATAGAAAGAAAGAAAGAAAAAAAAAAAAAAATAAGATGATATTTACTTGCTGTCAGCATTCCTTTGCAAGTGCAACTTCAAATACCACAAAAGCCGATTGTTCCTTGGCAGAAATAGCGAGACTGCCAGTGCAAGTAGCTGCCATCCTTGGATAAGAACGTACTGGGCAGGATTAGTTTTGCAATCCAAGATAGTCGATGTAGAGTGGCCCTGCGTGAGCGGAGGACTGTGAGAAGACGAGGCCGTCGATTGTGCGTCCGCATTTTCACCGCTGCCATTTGCCGCGGGACTTTGCGTATCGCAGGTGAAGAGCGATTGCGTGGCGCAGAGGAGGAGCTGCTGCAATGGTATGCTGGCATACTACTACATCCCTGTACTGAACCATACCTATTCTATCGTCTACGTCTTCTCGATGAGACTTTAATATCGTCAAATATTTTTCTTTTCTCAATATTTATCTTTTTCTTTTTTCTTTTTTTTTTTTCTCTTAAGGAAGAAGCTTTCATTTAGCAAGGGGATTTTTTAATTCATCCAAAATAAACAATTTGAAATAACATGAATTATGACATGATATATATATATATGTATGTATGTATACACACATATATATATACATATACATCTAATGAATAATTTTATTTTCTATAATAATTGTTCAAAATAAGAAACTGTAATAATTCATCGAGTCTCGTGAGACTGTATTTTGTTTAAAATGCAATGAACCTTTTGTTTTTTTGTTTTCTTTCTTATCAATGGCAAGTAGTTAGTATATTATTATAATATATGTGAATGGGGAATCGAATTATATTCCAAACGTAACTCTATATGTTAATCACAATAAAAATGCATGGACCGTAAGATCGATGAAATTAATAAATGTGGATGTGATAAAAGCGCTTTTAAAAGGCCATGTGAGTCTGATTTATTTTTCTATTTTTCTTTTTTTTTTTTCTTCTTTTTTTTCCACAGATTTAAAAGAGAAAGCATTACCCTTCCTTGCGCTCATTTTTATTAATTTAAGAAAATGAACGTGATTTTTATTTTTTATTTTTTTTTTTTTATTACTTTGCCAAGCTGTATAAAAAATATACATGTATATATATATATATATATATATGTATATACATGTATATTCTCTAAGACGATGCGAATTTTTGATAGAATTTTATATTTTGCATACTACGATGAAAGATTTCCGTAAAAAATGATTCACTAATGGAAGATAACTAGCTTTAGTTATTTTATCGTAAAAAAAGATAATTTTAATAGTTTGTTTGTTTGTTTTGTCTGTTTATTTGTTGGTTTGTTTGTTTGATTGATTGATTGATTGATTTGTTTATACGGGCGATCAAAATCTAATTCTCTAAGCAGCATTCAAACAGAGAAAATATCTTAAAATATGAGCTATTGCAGAAAAATAAATAAAAGAATCGTTTGAGATAGAGAGAAAAATAAAACAAAACAACAATCTAAAAAAGATGTTTTTCTGTGTGTGGTTCTTATGTACACCAACATACCATTCTGCAAGTGTGTGTGCCGCAGAACGTATTTTGACAACTATTTTAATATACCATATATATATGTATATAATATATGATGCGAAACGCTTTTTTATATGATTATTGTAGAAAAAAGAAATAGACAGAGAAATGCGATCTATGATTAATAATGAAAAGAAAAATTATGGCGTTTGCACGATGAGAAAATTGTCGAAATATGTTCGGCTCACATGAAGGGCGTCAGGTTGGGTGAGGTGATCGGGTATGATGTATAAATATTAAAAAGTACGATTCGTATAGTAAAAACGTAAAAAAAAAAAAATGGAAAAAAAATATATAATCAACAAACCAAAAAAAACTTATTATAAATTAATAATATGTCCAGAAGAGAAAAAACAAACGCATGCGGTTTAGAAATATATATATATATATATATATAGATATATATAAAAGAGCCTAGGAGCAGCACACTCAAAGCGGCAAATGAAAATGAAATATGAATGAATTGTTAAAACTAAAATTCTTTTTTTTTTTTTAATTTTTTTCTTTTTTTTTCCTTTTGTTAAACTTCGTCAAGTATTATGGCGAGAAAGAGAGAAAGAGAAAGAGAGAGAAAAAACGCATGGCTCTACATGGTTAATCGAAAGTAATAAAGTTAGTTTTTCTATATATATAAGAGATAAAAAATAAAAAAATAAAAATTAAAAAAAAAAGATAAGTATTTTTTGATATCTCGCTTATGTGAACTGAACGATTACGTATAATACTTGACTAAGCGTACCCAATGTACCATTTTTTTCTTTTTTATTCTTCTCACACAGAAGCACATTAAACTTTCGAACGTGTATCACGATGCAGAATATTTTTTTTTTTCTTTTTTGTTTATAGTACAAAAGCTACTCGTACGAGACGAGTTAACATATATGTGTATATGTATATATGTATATATGTATATATATGTATATTCGTACGATATTATTTCGCACGATCCAGTCAATTTGAAAAAATGGTACAGGGCAAAGAGTGTTTGTTAAACAATAAGCAGGACTTACAACGCGCGCAGTACCCAGCGACACAAGTCTGGCGGCCTTTTTTACCTGTACGCCCAAACGGTGTTGTGTGTGACGACTTGTCTGCTTTACCAATGCGCATATAAATTCCGATTGAAGTTCAGGCTGATCTAGGCATTGCTGTAACGCATTTTGTGCCAGGACCACGTGGTAATCAATGCCTGCTTGTTCTACCGCAACCGACATAAACAGCTGACAAGCCTATTGAACAATACGATTTTGGTAATGTTGTGTATCAAAATATGATACACTTGGAGATTTGCTAACACCAACCTTGAAAAGTTTAATAGCTTCTGTTTGCAAGGCTTCGGATGTCAAACTAGTTAACGGACTGGTAATATTTTCCTTCGTATGAAGTAAAAGAGGATGTCTCCAGAGTACACAGCTAGGATCACCATCAGTTTCCATTAACCTTTGCACCAACTGTTCGTATTGAGTTCCCGCGCTTGGTCCACCACCCGAGACAACCGTCAAGTGGTATAACCAATTGTCTTTATCCTGTTTGTGAGGCATTAACAAATACGTAGGACCTTGATGCGTTGGAAAGATTCCAATCGTTCTTTCGTGAGGACACTCGGCGTCTCTTTCCTCGCTATCGCTGTCTGACACGTGCTCCACTTCCTCCACTCTGGCGTCTCTCATATTTATCTGACCGATAGGATTCTAAAAAACATAATTAAAAAAACAACATACTTGATATCCAATCGTTAAAAATGTTATCATTGATATACATATATACATGTACACTTACCGTATCGTTTGGGCACTTAAAATACAGGAACATTTTTCCAATGAGAACGCACCAGCACTTCTTGGCGTGGCCATTTTTGACTTTAGTCAACCAGCCCTGTATCGTAGGTTTGTTGTCTTCCTTACTGAGAAGTAATTTAGTTGCGTTCCGCCTTTGTACATTCTGTAGAACTCTAATCCAATCTTCCATCGTCGCAATGCAATCCGCAGTTAGATAATAGGTCTTCTTGCCGGTAGAAATTTCGAAAGTAGCAGCACCTTCCGCCCTATTTATCCTTATCGAATAAAGAAAAATATCGTTAAACACTTTGACAATAAAATAATACAAATAACATTATCAAATTGACGTGATCATTATTTACCTGCAAACTTCATCCAACACAATTTGACCCTGAGGTTTTCTATTGACGTCATTCTGACTTTTCCAATAAGTGAGCACTCCGTTCTTTAAAACGAACCATCTCTTACGCCAAGTTTTCAACTTTCCACCAAGTTTAGCCAAGTGTCCAGTCTTTTCTAAAGATTCCTGTTTCTTAGGACTTTCACCGGAAACTCGCATCAAAAGACTAGGCATGCTTGACTCGAGAGACGTCGAGCTCAATGCGTCAGGTGGTATGGCATAATCTTCTGACAAGCCAGATTCAAGTGAGGTATCTGTGAAAAGGAAAATTTCGAAGTTGCCGGGAGTTCGATACTTTCCAACGAGAATAACAGAACTAACTAGGACAAACAAATATAAAAGATCATTATCTAGAAACTCACCACGTTTTACGCTTTTACTGGGAGAACCACTGGAGCTTCTTTTCGCTGGACTTAAACTGCTAGTCGTTTTCACGCTTTTCGATGGACTACTCCCACTACCGAGAGAAGAATCTGTATTATCTGAAGAACTATTGGTAATTCTAGTATTGGTTTCCGTTTGATTCGGATGTTCTTCACCGTCCGAACTGTCATCGGAACTGTCACCAAACGGCATTGATCTGATTTGGCTGGCACGTCCTAGAAAACAAATCGAAATACAATATAGTGTATCTCAATTTAAAATTATATATAATTTAATTTAACGGTAGTATATGTGTTATATTTACCTTTAACAGTAGCATATACTGGAACCGATATATCGCAATAGCCTTGAGAATTATGTGCCGTTAAATTATGTCCAGTAGTAGCTTGAGAATGTTTCGATGAACTGGTTGTGTTAGTCATCGAAGATGGTGCCGATTCTTCATTCGTTGGTGGACCGATGCCAAGACCACCGTCTGCCACCTACGAGAAGATATACGATTGTGTACAACAGAAAATAGAAAGAAAGAAATAAATAAAGAGAGAAAGAAAGAAATATAATTTAAGGACAAAGTTTCTCAACTCCATCTTCAAAGTTGAAAAATACGCGAAGAAACATAGGAGTCTCGTACGAGACGTTACCTGATATATCTTTGCTTCCCAACTGGGAAATCTATGAAGAGGCGGTGTAGGTGGTCTGGGACCTTGTCCACTGTTCTGTCCCCAATTCATTCCTTCTCTACTTGGCGTATAAATCTCCGCGTAATCGTGCACAGCCTCAGAGCTACCACTGTCTCTACCACTAGTCTCGGAAACACCTGGTATATTGGGCAGCATCACCAAATTTTCCACGGCTGCCGCTAACTCCTCGGAGAGTAAGCTATTGGAAAAAAAAATGAACGAGTAACAAGGATAGAACAATTTTAATAAAAAAAAAAAAAAAAGAAAAAAAAGAAGAAACAAAGTAGAAAAAGAAAACAGGTACTTAAATTAAATTAAATAAAAAAAAAAAGAGAAAAAAAACATCAGAAATAGAAAACAGATTATTTGTCTGATGATCAAAGAAAGAAATTAAGAAAAGGCACGTGCACGCGCGTGAATTGTTAAGCGTGATGTATCATCGGATCGATAAAATAGATTTTTAATCGAATAGAACGGAAAAAGAAATAAAAAAAAATAAAACAATAAAGAATGAAGAAACAGAAGCAAGATTTCGAAAATGACACAAGTCGAGAGATCCCCGCAGGAAGTCCCAGGACGTTACAGGGTACCACGGTTCGGAAAGTCGGGCGCCGCTATTACGTCGTGAGACCTCCCAAGGAGAATCAGGGTACGTTTGATCAACGACGAATTCAAATGATTAGATTGACAAAAGTCTGGTGATCTATTAAGAACGGATAATGGATGATACATAGTAGGAAAAGTAAGGAAAGTTATTAAATCGGTTTCTAATTTTGATAAAAAGATGAAAGCTGCTCTACCTCGAATCCATGTTGGTGGTTGGTATTCCACGTTGAATGGTTCCACACGCGGAAAGATGTCTTCTGTGCTTGCTACCGGTCTGTGGTTCGGCTACGGAACTTTGAACGTTTTCCGGTACGGTCTGTGGTGTCCCTTCTAAGCTTTCCGATCGTCTACGCAACGTTGGATCTACTTCCAATGAAAGGGATGCCCTCGTTGGTGCCTATGAACAAAAACAAATTCGTTTTAATAGGATATCGTACGTGATTTCAATCATTGAACAAAATCATGTTTTATTTGATTTTTATCAGATCGTTATATTACTCACAGGTGGTTTCAAACCGATATTTGTTATGTGATTACGCAATAATTCCAATTGTTGATTGCACTTGTTATTCTGCTCCCTCAAATGTTGATTCTGTTGTTCGAGTTCCCGTAGCTTATTGGTAACCCATTCCTTTATTCTAGCGGCTTTCGCCTCAACTTGTCTCGCATCTTGCAGTCTTAATTGTCTCTAAGAACGATCGAAGATGACAACGTAGACGATAAAATACGATAAGGTCTTATCGAATAATTCGTAGAAAGAAATTGACGATAAAGTATATAAACGTATTTACCGATATGAATAATCTAATAAGAAATATGATTACTCACCTGTTCCTCGACCTGGGTCTCTAATTTCGAGATGCAAGCACATCTAACGTCCTCGAGCTTTTCATTCTGTGTGCCGGAAGTTGACGGCAACGAATGAGGCGGAGAACCAACGCCGGATGTGCTCAGGCAGTATTCACCCTTCACCAGCCGCTCCTCCATCATCCGTACCTTAGAAATACAATTGTCATCTTTCTTTCCCTTTTATTTTTTTAATTACTTAACGAATCTATTTTTCTCTTTATCAATTCCAATTGGTAATTCTAAACGACCGCGGAAAAAGGGAAATAGAACTAACGAAAAAAAAAAACCCAAGAAGAAAAAAGTGAACAAGATGAACGCGCGTACGCACACTCCGCGGTACTCATCGAAGGGCTACCCGCGTGCGGGTAGTGTGTGTCTTTGCGTGCTACCCTCGTGCACCCCTTTCTAAACGTGCTTTTCGGTTCCGTAGCAGCTGTCAAAAATCGATATCGCCTTAACGCTCGACGTAAACCGACGCAGAACAGCGACAGAGTTGCGTCCACTAGCACACAAGGGGAGTATATATGTATATATATATATATATATATATATATATATATATATATATATATATATATATATCGAGAAAATCAATACGCTCACGGTAAAATCCTACGACCGATGAATGTTTTCCTCTCGTTTTTCCCCCCATGCGTCTTCTAATATCGATATTTCATATTTTCTTTGTTCTACTTTAAAATCCATCTTTTTATTATCCGTCAAAGATATTTCAAAACGATATAATCGTAAACGCGGAATAAAATCGATAAATTTTATTTCTTTTATATTATGTTTAAACAAGAAAAAGGTATTTCCCTTGTAGATCGTAGGAACCCTTTCAAGTTCACACTTAGTTTCTCGAGTACCCTCGAATGAGAGGACTAATGATAAAAAGGAAAGAAACGAGGAGAGTACCGAAGTCCTGTCGTTTCCCACGAACGTTTTGCAACCCCTTTTCATTTGAGAGAGAGAAAAAGAGAGAGATAGATACAAAGAGGGTTGGAAGGGTAGGCAACCCCACGCGTTGTTCATCTTTCTCTCTTCCTCCTTTCGTTTCTACACCCTATCTCGTCGTATTTCCCTTCGATTAATCGTTCGAGAAGGTATTAAAACGAATCCTCAAAACTCGGTCCAAGCCTTACCTAAATTTTGAGGAGCCATGGTAACTGATCGATCCTAGTTCCTATTCTGCTTTCTCAAATTTATATTAATTTCTTAATGTAAAGATAAACAAACAAACAAACAAAAATGCACAATACGATTCGATTTAAAACGTTCTTTTAACCGAATACATCGATCACTAGTTTTAAACAAACAATTATTCGAGATAGTCAACAACAATTGACGAGGACAAAGAAGATAAAATTGATGATGATGATGATGATGAAGAAGAAGAAGAAGAAGAAGAATAGAACCGTGCTGGTTTCGAGATCGAAGCAAACTGAACGAACTCGAAGTACATAAACCGCGGGGGTTTCCTAGAGGCGGTGAGTCACGTTGGCTTCTGGCCAATGGGAGAATCGATGGTGATATCGTAGGAGCCGTATGCATACACGCGGCACACACCATCATCCTCTGACGAGACGATGACCCTGAGAGAGAAAGAGAGAACAAGAGAAAATGGGAGAAAGAGAATCGAAGAGAGCCAAAGTCGTCATTTCTCTCTCTCTCTCTCTCTTTCTCTCTCTCTCTCTTTATCTTTAACGACGACAAGACCTACATGCATGCGCATCTCTTCTTTACTCGACGCGACTATATAGTCAGTCGTAGCCAATCATGATGATCTGTTCAAATACAAGCTTCGATGAAAGTCAAGGACGCTGATTGGACATGTCACTGACCTACTCGCGTTAACGATAACATCTTAAAGGGAAACATATTGTCGTGTATCAAATCTTTTTTTCAAGAAATATAAACTCTTTACAACTTTGATGATAAAGTTCGAACCCCTTTTTCTGTTTGATCGAAAATAACAGGAGTCTCATGAGATAAGGCGTGATGTGGGTGGGAAGGGGGGGAGAGGGTTCGGAAGGAAGGAAGGAAGGAAGGTTGGAGATACTGCAAGCTACGGAAGCTGCCTTGAGATTTATCGATTTGTGCTATCCATGGTGAAGCGTAGACTTGCGTGGGAGACTCCACGATGATCACAAGAGGGATGAGATTAATGAGGAAGAGACAAACAGACAAAGATAGAGAATATATGTATACGTTAAAGTAGACAGAGATAGGAAGAAACTAATTGGAAAATCGTTAAAATTAATTAAAATAAGTACGAATGAAAATAACCCGATGTGTATCAACACCCACCATCATCATTCTGTGAACACCCTTTTTTTCCCCTCTCTCTTCCTCTAGCCCACGTGGCTCGTGCACGCGACTCTCTCTCTCTCTCTTTTTTTCTCTCTCTTTTACTTCTTACTTTACAATCGTAAAATAAAGATTGTCGTGGAATATTCGAGGGAAAACATTCCAACGTGACAATTCGATATGAAAGTATTTTTTACTTAGAATTTAAATCGTCTAAATGTTAATAGATTATTTCAAGCATCATTCAATTGCGCTGAGATATTTGTCGGTATAATTGAATAGAAACATAGAAAAATAAAATGATGAATTTTTTTCAATCGTACGAATGGAAAGATAAAAAGAAATCGTTGTGGATAAAGAGTGAGGGGGTGAAAGTCGATGAGGAGTCGGCGTCGTACTGAAATATTTAAAGAGAGAACCTCGAGAACCTTCTATTACTACTACTATTACTACTACTACAATTACTATTCTATTTACCATGATAGCTTTTTTACTAATACTAATAACACACAACCCCATTACTGCAACGGATGAGAGAAAAAAAAGAAAAAAAAGAAAAGAAAATAAGGGGGGTGGAAAAATAAAAAAAACCAACGCCTAAACGTCTCTGCGTTATACGGGATGATTTATTTTGTTTGTTGTGTGTGTGGTGCGCGGGTGCTCACTCACGGGAAGTGCAGGATTACTCACGAATTGGATCCTTGCCAATTCTTCTAAAAGTTGCGTCCCGTCGCGTCAAAAAGCCGACTGACTCGTCGTCGTTAAAGTCACAGAGACGCGTATATATATATATACCGTAAATTGCCTCTTAAATGCTATTCTTTTCGAGAAAAGCTTTTTTCTTTCTTTTTTCTTTTTTTATTATAATTTCTTTTAACTTTTTTTTCATCCGCGTGCGCGCCACCCTGATCGACACAGGACAAAAGGACGTTTCTTTCAACGTGGGTTGGTTTTCCTCCTCCTCCTCCTCCTCCTCTTCCACCACATTTTCTCTCGCGTGCTAAATGTATTTTTATTTTATATATTTTAGGTAGTACGTACACGCGTAAAATCAGACATGAGACAGAACGGAAAACAATTTCGTTTCATTTTTAAACTTCGAAAATATTATAATATTCTGATCGATTTTTTCTTTCATCGAAAATATCATTGTTCACGTGCAATTAAATTAATAAACGTCGTTGAGAAATATATTTCTTCGAATGATAAATAATTGGTTTAAAAAACCAAGAGAAAAGAGAGTAAAAAAAGATAAGAATTACGCGGTATTAATTATGAAAGAAACGTAAGACGTTTAAGCACGATACAGTGAAGAGAATAATAATAACACAAGTGGCCAATGTACTTTAATTAAGATAATATCTGACATATCAAAAGAATCTCTTTTTTCAAGTTATCGTTAGTAGAATGTAACTTAAGAGAAGCTTATAAACGTATTCACCGTATTCTGAATCACGAGTAGTGAATCACGAAAGACAGGGGAAATTGGAGCGACGATATGTGACCAGCTCTCTCTCTCTCTCTCTCT